TATATATATATATATATATATATATATATATATATATATATATATATATATATATATATATATATATATATATATATATATATATATATATTGTTAACATATTGCCCACAGTAATTGGTGTAAACTGTTGTGGTGTCCCCGCCTCTTTTTATGTCTCATGTATATGAATTGTTGTGCTTGTATTGTGTACGTTTTTTGTCAAGGCGAAGCTAAATAAATAAATAAATAAATAAATATATTCTACAACCCTCATAAAACAAGGTCATTGATCTATCTCTTTCTTCGGTTATCCGCTTCGATCGCTGCTGCTGGGTCTTGTTCTCGTCACTTCTGGTTTGTCATCCTCCTTGGCTTCGACAGGTAATTTACTTTCTCTGGCTGTAGATCTGATTTCCAAGGGTAGAGTCGCTGAACAGGTCGTTTTATGGTGGTTGATCTTCCTTTCTTTGAAAACACATTTACTACAGCTCCTCTACCACATTTACTACAGCTCCTTTGAAAACACATTTACTACAGCTCGTCCATCAGCTCCAGAGATTAAACTTTCAACCTTTCCAAAGTCCTCTGGGACGTGATTCTTCGTAGATTACTACAATATCCCCAAGACTGACGGTTTCATTTTCATTCCGTTTCTCAACTCGGTGAGATTCTCCCAACTCCTTCAAGTACTCATTCCTCCATCTCGACCAGAAATGATTCATAACATTACTTAAATGTCTCATCCTCCGGCTTAAATCATCCGTATCTAACTTAATGTCAAAATGTGTATCGTCCTCATTGTAGTTGGGTTCTGGCAGACTCGATAGCCTTCTGCCTATCAGCAGATGTGAAGGCGTGAGCGGTTCTTCGAAGTCCTCTGTGGAAATTATATACGAAAGAGGGCGAGAATTGAGGATTATTTCTACTTCAACTGTTGCTGTGAGAAGCTCTTCCTTTGTGAGTTTAGCCGTTCCCAAGGTTTTCTTTAATTAAGCATCTCTTCGTCGTTTTCACCAGCCTGTCAAAGAAGCCTCCCCACCAAGGGGCCTTTTCCAAGTTGAAATGCCATGTTATGCGCTTTCCAGGAAAGAATTTTTTTACGTCAGGATGAGTTAAAATGGTAGTAATTTCTTTCGCCGCGGGTTTAAATGTCCCACCGTTGTCCGTTATAATAGTTGATGGTGTTCCTCTTTGGGCAGTAAATTTTTTGAAACTCCTCATGAATCCTTCTGACGTCAAATTTGGCACGACATCCAAATGTAGTGCTCTGACTACGCAACATGTATATAAACAGATCCAGACTTTCGGATTTTCCTCTCTCGTCTTCACGTATAACGGACCGAGAAAATCTATGCCCGTCGCAGTAAAGGGAGGTGCCTCGTTTACTCGGAACTCTGGCAGCGGAGGTGCGGGTGGAGCTTGGTAAAGTTTTCCTTCAAACCTGCGGCAAGTAGCACACTTGCCCAGTTGTGTCCGAATAAACTGTCTTCCTCGAACATGCCAACACTAGGATCGCAATTCAGTCAGGGTCTCCTTTACGCCATTATGCATCACTTTCTTGTGGCACTCCCGAATGATTAGGGTTGTGAGATAATGATTCTTGTCCAATATGATAGGATACTTCGTCATTAATGGCAAGTTTGCCCTTCCCAATCTTCCCTTGCATCTCCATACATTTTTTTCGTCAAGATAAAGGTCAAACTGAATCTTCCAGTGTTTAAATTCCCCTATCTCAGGTTGCATTTCCTTCATCCACACAGTGTGAGCTTCATCAATTTCGTTCGTACTTAAACTACCACCTTCAATTCTACCGTCCTTCTTGTGTTGCACTGCTTTCAAAAATCGTAGAACATACGCTGTCACCCGAAGAAGTCGTTCTAGGGTTCCAAATCACTCGCGCCTTATAATTTCGTTGAGGCCATGCGAAGAATTACTCAGTGTAGGGTTTGATAAACTTCGCGGTTTCGTTATTTTCATTTCCGCTAAACACTCTAGTTCTGGTGGTACGCATTGCTCGTCACCGTCTTCAAGTTCTTCAGTATTAGTTTAACCTGGCCAATCTGGACCACTGTGCCATAGTATACCGTCCGCTAGCTCTGCAGGGTTTTATTCCTCTTGAAGGTATGTCAGCTGGGTTATCTCCGCCTGGACAGTGTGTCGCCAAGAATTCGGGCTTATCAGATTGCGGATTTCCATTGCTCGGTTCTGCACGAACTGTTTCCACTCCCGATCTTCATTCTTGATCCAAAACAACGCTACTTTCGAATCAGTCCAGCAAACTGAATCTTGCAATTGTAACTCCAGACGTAAGACTTCCTCCACGTCTTTAGGTAATTTTGCAAGGATGAGACAGGATAACAGTTCGAATCGAGGAATAGTTTGTTTGTCAATGGGGACCACTCTTGTCTTAGATGCTAAAAATCTTACGTAAGTACTGCTGGCAGTTCTAATTACCAAATAGGTCATGCATATGCCATCTTTGACGCATCACAGAAGCCATAGATGGTGGAAGAAATTACTCTCTCGCTTATGTTATAGAAATAGCAACGGGGAAGGAGAATGCGTTTCATCTTCAGTAGTTCTGCTACTAGTTTCTCCCATTTTACTCTTATCGAATGTGAGATCTCATCATCCCAACCAACTTTACCTTCGCATAACTCTTGGAAAATTTGTTTAAATTGGACAGTTATTGGTGACATATATCCCAACGGGTCGTAAAACTTAGCGGGGAGTCGAATGATATTTCGCTTGGTGGGTTCAGAGGTTTTGGGCAATTCAGCTATGCCACTTAAGTCAAAAACAAGTTGATCTTCAACGAAGTTCCAATTTACACCAATAACTCGTTGTTCACTTTCAGATGCTGTGGGTTCAGTACCAAGCGTGATCCTTGAATATGTCTCATCTTCATCGACAGCGTCAGGTTGTTTTGAGTTGTGACTTGTACTAATATCCTTTGCCAGCTTGCTGGATGACGTAGTTTCGTTCCTTTCAATCGTCTCCATCAGCCCTGGCGAATTAGTAACAAACTTTCCTAAATTGAAACCCCCTTCAGCCAATCGGAGCTTTGCCTTCTTATACAGCATGTAAACAGAGTCATCATCATTTCCACCCGAATTCAAGTCATCGACGTAAATGGCTCGTAAAAACGCATCCACAAATTTGTGGTCTTCACAACGGTACTGTCCGATGTGGTGTCTTATGGTGGCGTTGAGCAAAAACGGACTGGACGACACCCCAAACACGACACGGGTGAATCTGAGGGTAATGACCTTCGGGTGTTCACTCCATGCGTCGTCGAACCATAAGAAACTCAGGACGTTTCGATCTACCTTTGCGACTGATACCATAAGAAACGCCTTTTAATTTCGATATCTCCAGCTAATGCGATTCTATGACTCCGTAATCGTAGAACGATATCCATGATGCTCTGTGTCATTGTAAGACCAGTGTACAAGCAATCATTTAGGGACGGACCACTCGATTTTGCCGAAGCATCATATACTATTCTCAGTTTTGTGGTTTGCTTGTCTCGCCTTATCACCGCATGATGGGGCATGTAATGGACCCTTCCCATTTCACCAACATCTTCCTTATCAACTCTTTCTACAATTCCTCGATTCAACTCATCCTTGATAACAGCATCGTATTAAGTACCTCTGGGTCCCTTTGTAATCGTTGTAGTTAGCTCATTAATCGTCGGCGACTCATCTCAAAATTATCGGGTAGGATTTGGTGCTGTTCCTTCCGACGCATCCTTGAATGCGATGGCGCTCTGGAATTCGTCATGTACCGACCTATCTTGCTTCAGTATGCCAAGTGACTCTAAGTCCCAGAAAGGTCTCAGATCCTTTTCAATTCCTTGGCTCTGGGTTTGGGTAGGTGATGTTGCACATCTTAGGACATGTGTAGTGGCTAAGTTCGTAGCGGGTTTGGAGACTGGCATCCGCTCATCTTCGACTGGACCATAAAGAACCCATCCCAATCTTGTACCGACTGCCGTCGGACCATTTTCTCCCCTTCTAACCTCTCCTGTCACAAGATCCCAATACTGGTCGCATCCAATGAGAACATCGACTTCTGAGTTGTCTATTCCTGTCGAACAATCAGCCAAATTCAGCCTTTCTCTTGCTTCTACTTCGGCTTCAAGCATTTCCAGTAATCGGTCAAGATCCCAGTTATCATTCTTTATGTCACGACTGATCAGTATACGCAAGTCTTGTGGGAGCTTGATCATGAGCATGAAACCTAAAAGATTACCATATGATTGTGATGGTATACCAAGGGACTTGAAGGCCCTAATGTGCGACTCGACTTGTCATGCAATGATCTAAGCCCCTTCAACTTTTGAACTGATGTAACTGGATCCAGATTGAGAAGGATATCCATATGCTTGTTTTTGCCAATTGCTTATTCCCAAATCTATTCCTATGTATGACAATTGCTTCATTATAGTTCCCAGATGTTAACGTTAGTCCCGATATTACATCAGCCGCTGTATTCTCAAGGAGTGAATTGAGATAATTAAATTTTTCAATATCGGACAAGGAGGGATTCTTATCAATCGCAGATTCAAAGGTGTCCCAGAATGTAGACCAGGTTGTTATAACACCCCGAAATTTCTTCAGGTTTAACTTTTGCAGTTTAACAGAGGGTTGGGTCATTTGATGGCTAGACCGAGTTGTGTAATACCACTCTGACTAGGGGAGCCAGGGCCTTGCATTTCCTCGAAACCCGCCATGACCAATACTGTTTCAGTCTGGTTGTTTTGTGGTGTTGGTGGGATAGAGTTACTTTGTGCTGTTGATGGGGTAGGACTATTTTCAATAACAATGTTAGCAGATTCATTCGACTGTGTAATTTTAGTTAAAGTATTTTCAATTTCAAGAATTGTGGATTGCATATTTTCCCTTAGAATAGCTGCTTGTTCAATTTCAAGTTCTACATCATCATCCCCTACTAGTTCCAGAATAGCATTGTCTTGTTGTTGAAAAACAACTATTTTATCTTCGAGTGTTTTCTTATAAAGTGTAAGCTTCACAACATGAGGAGCTAGTTTAGATTTTTCATCAACACTAATTGTCAAGAGATCATTCGCTGCAGAGATTGTTCGTTTTGTTGATGTTCTGTGGCCATTTTGGACTCTTTTCATTCTACCCAACTCTTGGGCTTCAGTCATCGTAATGAGAGTTTTAATATGAGTTTCAATTTCAAAAGAATACTGATAAAACAACTTACCATCGGTATTTCGTCGTGTTTTAGATTTCAAATTCCAACAGTGTTTTATATTCGCATTATAAATCAGCTCTCATCCGGCTCGAAGGACCATGATCGATATGTAGAATTGTTTCCTTTATATTGAGTTATATTTAGATTCAAAAGACTCACTTCATGCACTGGATTTATACAAATGTATTACATAAACACAACATAAACACATGAATTCCCTCTCGTACAATTCTTCCTCGTGTTCGGTTTTTGTACGCATGCGCCATGCTTCCCCTTAACAATAACAACTTCTACTATGAAAAATAAACAACCTCGAGGACGTCTTTCGACAACATATTTTGTTGAAACGATGACAAACTAGTAAAACAATCTAGTCCTTGATTTTGTGCAGCTGTCAGATTTTCATCGTATTCGTCATATTCAAGAGACTTTTCATGGAAACAAAACGATTCAATTGCCTTCTTCATGATCGTGCATTTCCCACATTTACACCATTGTAGCGATGAAATACGCCAAGCATCTGCCGTCTCAAATTCGTCATCAAGTTCTTCCTCCTCTGTTGTAGAGTATTGAGTAGAATTGTCACTAGATTCTTCATCCTCTCCTTTATTTGGTTCGAACATATAAGGTTCAATACCAAGCTCTTCGCTACAAACAACGTCTTTATTTTCTGACCTTTGCATGCTTGCCATGTTGGCATGTGTTGAATCATGAACAAGCCCTGTTGTGACGTCACACGCATATTTATGATTTTTACCAGTTAGCTTAAAAAATCATTCAAGATGGCCGACAAATGTACAAAACGCACGGGATAAAAAGCGTATTTACATCCGTGCAATTCGCATTCATGATGTAGGTATGCTTTAAAAAAAAGTTGCCATTTCCCTTTAAACCATTGCCATAGTTGGAAAGAGCATCTTAAAATGAGTAAAATTGCAAAGTTTGGTTGTGAATTGTTGTAAAATGATTTGCTATAACTAAGAAATTATTAAAAGTATCCAACATTCCTTGTAAAGTTCGTCACTACCTAAATAAAAAACATCTCATAACTCTATATCATACTCTTGTTTACCCACATTTATATTACGGTAATATACTATGGGCTAGCAACTATAAAACAAGATTAAAGTCAGTATCAACGATACAGAAAAAGATTCTGAAAATAATATCATTTTTGCCTTATACTTTCACATCGTCAACCCTTTTTCAACGCTAGAAATACTAAATATTAATAAGATAAATGCTTTTCAAGTTAGCTTGTTCGCATTCGCATACACTACCACTTCAATTTGATTCACTTTGCATAAAAACAATGTTATTCTTTGCCATAATACTAGAGGCTCTATGAAATTACACAAACCCTACAATAAAACAAACTATGGACTGTATTCCAAAAAAAACAGATGCACAGTAGTGTGGAATATGTTGCCGGAATACATTAAAAATAGCGATAGTAAATACATAGATAGATAGATAGATAGATAGATACTTTATTGCGTGTTCCCCTAAGGGCTTTTCAACACTACATTACATATTAAAATTACTATAAATTACTACTAAAACTACCTATGTTACATATACTTATTTAAAATTAGTTAAAATATGTACAAAGAGTATAAAATATTAAATGTATTTAATAGGATTCTTTTAGTAAAATCTCCCTAAGTTTTTTCTTAAAAATTGTTATTGATGTAATATTTTTTAGTTTATCATCCAAGTCATTCCATATTTTAACACCCCGGTAATTAAATGTTCTTTGACCTGTAGCAGATTTATACAGAGGGATGTCCAAGAGGTCATGATTTCTTGTCGATCGATCATGTATGTCGGAACGCTTTATAAATTTATCTACTAGGTAGTCAGGTGCAAGTCCATTAAAACACTTGTAAGCCATTACAGTATCCCTTTCCAATAATAACTTTTCCACTGGCAACCAATTTAGTTCGCGCAACGCCGGAGTTATGTGATCGAACTTTCCTACCCCTGATATAACTCTGCACGCGAAGTTCTGCACTGATTGAAGTTTATTGATATTGTTAGATGACGTGTTGGACCACACCGTAGAGCAGTACAGAAGCTTGTTAATTACAAGTGTCTCAATGACCAATTTTAATGTTTCATTATCGAAACTATCCTTCACGCGATTTATTTGACATAGTTTTCTCATACACGACGAAACGAGTTTAGATATGTGGTCGTCGTAGGATAGGTACGAATCCAAATTGATACCCAAATCTTTAGCTAATAAAACAGGTCTTATAGTCTTTCCTAAAAATGTTAGCGATATTTCTGTAGGTACATTCTGCAGCATGGGTCTTGAACCGACTAAAAGGAATTTAGTTTTTTCTGGATTGATCAGTAATTGGTGCTCCAAACACCACTTGGCTGCTATTTGTAGATCTGCCTCTAAATTGATAGTTGTCTGTTCCAAGTCGTAGATGCAGAATGATTTGTAAAGCTTTGAGTCGTCTACGTATGAATCAAGGTTACACGATTGTATGCTCCCTGGCAGATCATTAATATAGATGCAAAACAGAAGTGGTGATAGTATTGCACCTTGTGGAACGCCATGGGTTATTGGGCGAGCTGATGACTTGGTGGATCCAATGCGCACGTATTGGGATCTGCCTGTTAAATAGTCTTGGAACCATTTAACAGCTTCGGGTGAAGCACCGATACAACTCAATTTGTGTAATAAAATCGAATGACTGACACTGTCAAATGCCTTGGATAAATCTAATAAAATTAGTGCCGTTAGATTTTTGTTGTCTATGGCTTCCAACATCGTATCGGTAACAAATATGTTTAAGGTTTCGGTGGAGTGAAGACTCCTATTCCCGCTTTGATGTGACGATATGCGATTAAATTCTTTGAGGTAGGAGCTAAATTGATTTAGAACAACTTTTTCACAAACTTTTGAAACTACCTCGAGTAGTGAGAGAGGCCGATTGTTTGAGGCTATCTCGTGGTCTCCTTCTTTTAGTAGGGGTATAACTTCAGAAATCTTCCATAGGTCAGGGAATGTGCTTGTCATTAGAGAGCAATTTATCATATGCGTAAGAGGACCCAGTATGATTGGAAGACAGTCTTTGATGACACGCATGCCTATTTTATCTGGTCCTGGTGACTTATTACTTGGCATAGCCATGATAATGCGTTGAACCTCTGTACAAGTAACGGAATGGAAATTGAACAGTTGATCAGATGGATAAGTGATTACATTTGACAGAGGATTTGACAGTGCAACATTGTTGTCTTTGGCTAAACTTTCGGCTGTCGCAGCAGCGTTCCGTCCCACAGAAGTAAAAAAAAGGTTGAAATCTTCTGCAACTGTTTTAAGTGCAATCTAAAATTATATCTTCTTTCTTGTGAAGATTATTAGTTGTACTCACAAAAAATGTAAATAAAAATAATTTATAACTTTATAAAGTTAATTTGTATTAGTTTACCTCATATATCTTGAACCTGACTAATCTGTTATATAAGTTTGTTTTTTAATTTTTTTAGGGTGGACTACTAAGAAAAGCCCTGACGGGCTTGTAAGTCTTCCTTCCAGATGAATTGTATCTTTATATTTTATCAAAAGTGTAACTGTATAATGGAAAAATTAATATCTGTCTATCTTTAAATACTGCCAGCCATGTATATGGATTGAATTTAAGGAAACATAAAATAAAGCCGTGTGCAAGCCATGATATACGTACGGTTAGTGTAACAAAATATACATCTGGACAAAGAAAACATTTAACTTGCTACATTATAACCTCTCTAGTTTGTGATCTCTTTGAGGTCGGTTTATATCATGAACATCTCAATCATTTTAACTAGGATAAACCGTCCTTAAAACTATAGTGGGATAAACCGTCCTTATACCTAGGATAAACCATCCTCATATAACAAGAAGAAAAACCACGTCGTTGTGCTGGGTGTAATTTTTTGTAGTTGAATACTCACATGTTGTTCGTACGGCTGGCATGATATACGAAGTATCAATAACAGCTAGAAATGTGTTAAGACTCGTGCACATGAGGAAATTAGGTGAAACGCAGTAAACATCACGAATCGTGACTCATGTATACACTTTAGGTACGAATATAAAGTAGCAGTACGACAAGGCTGTATTACAGCTGTTATAACATATCTAGCTTAAGATATTCCGGTCAAGATAGTTGCATATATCATCACTGTTGCGGAGTGGATAATTGGATATTTGAGATACCAGCTTTGGCAAGACAAAATAAAGATAGTCGGGAACCATTCTGTTCCACATTTTGTATAAAAACTGACATTTGTGAATATATCGTCTAGTTTCTGATTTATCCCAAGATAGTTCTTCTAACAGAGCTACCCGGTTAGTGCCTTTTATAGCGCCAGTAACAAGGCGAGCAGCTGCATCAAATTGAATTATTTCGAGAACATTACTGCACTCAACCCTACAACCATCCTATATGGAGAGATAAAAAATTGTAATAATAATTAATAATTAATAATTAATAATTAATAATTAATAATTAATAATTAATAATTAATAATTAATAATTAATAATTAATAATTAATAATTAATAATTAATAATTAATAATTAATAATTAATAATTAATAATTAATAATTAATAATTATAATTAATAATTAATAATAATTCATAATAATGATTAATAATTAAATAATTGATAATCTTTCCGGAGCTCCGTAAAATCCTTGCATTCTGACCGTTTAAAACTAGGGATTGAAGTAAAATTTACTGGAAAGTCGTATATAAGAACACAGTCGATACTGTTCCAAAGTCCGAGTGCGGATTCTGTATTATTACTGGATGAAAAACATATCGAAGTACCGTGGTTTTGGTGTTTTAATCGTTCTTGGAAGAAATTCAGTTGAAATTACGCACGCGTGATCATGAACGTCGCATTGTTTGGTTACGTTATTTTGATTACCTAACGAACTTTTCATTACGATATTTGTGCGAGTTTTTGGTCATTTACGCGCGTAAATCATATTACTGTAGATTCTCGAACAAAATGATATTTCCCAAACGTAAACTTGATGGCTGTTCATATGTCATATGGCTTCTCACTTTATTCTTATTCATTTGGCTGGCTAAAAGATCAAAACCAAAACCTGAACCTGAGCGCTTCTAAGAAAAACCAACATCTAAGAACATTTTCATAGTCGCTTCTGAACTTACAACGATACCTGATAAACTTTGTTTACTTTGGACATCAACACGAGACAATATCTTAAGAAAATCCAACTAGCCTTGTAAATACCGGTATGTTTTGGAACTTCAGATAAAACACAAGAATTTACATCTACTTCTGTGTATCCTCCTTGCTGGAGATATCGCCACTAATCCAGGCCCTTGTAGAACTATACCGTTCAGTTCCGAGTCGCAGCATGAACCAAAGGACCGGGAATCGAAAGGACTCCCCCCATACATGTCTTGTTCTGAACGCCCGTAGCTTAAAAAGCCAGGATGTTTTTGACGGGAAAAAGTTTTGTCATCTCTCCCGTTTTCAAGAGCTTGTTTAATCTGAGGCCGCAGATCTTGTCTGGGTAAAGGAACCCTGCCTCACAAAAGATGTCGTGAACACTGAAATTCTCCATGACGATTACGCTATCTACAGAAAAGATCGGGAACCGCGCTGGTGGTGGCGATTATGTGGCAGTTAAATCAAGTTCTTTCATTTCCTCACGCAATGTAGACATTGAAACTGATATTGAACTTGTATCAACAGAACTTGTCACAAGCTCAAAACTGAAATACGTAATCTGTTGTTGCTACAGGCCACCCAGCGCGGATCAGTCTTGGTTGGAAAAATTTAACTCGTTCCTAGCAGACGTTTTTTCACGCTACATCAACGTAATTACTTGTGGAGACTTCAATTTTCCCAAACTCCATTGGCAATATCCATCTGCTACTTCATCGGGTGAATACATTATGTTTACGGAACAGTTGAATAATTTCTTCCTTACTCAGGTCAACACTTTACCCACACGAGGAAACAACATCTTAGACTTAATTATCAATAGCCTACCAGATCAGATTGAGAACATTTCAAAACTTAAGCCAATGGACAGCGGCTTGTTTGCCGATCACGACACAATCTTGTTCAATTTGAAAACGTCCATAAAAGCAGCTCCTAAACTGAACAGAACTGTTTTTGATTACCGTAGAGGGAATATGGATGGACTACGTTCTGCCTTAGCGGTGACTGATTTTTCAAAAATAATCGATTCAGTAGAAGATATGAATAACTGTTGGGAACAATGGAAAAACACATACCTTAGAGTGGTGAGAAATTGCATCCCAACCAAGAAGATCAAAGGTCGAAATTCTCCCCCTTGGATTAATGGAAGTATTATTCACGAGATCAGAAAGAAAGAAGCGGTGCGACGGAAGTTAAGATCATCTCCATCTGACGCCCTTTGTGCTAAATTTAAAGAGCTACGAACCAAAGTTAAAAAAATGGTCCGTGAAAGTCGTGAAAGATTTTATAACTCTCTTGATGCCAACTTTAAAACAAACCCAAAGCGATTTTGGTCGATCTTTAAGCTGAACAATAAACAATCAAGTGTTCCAGATATTATGTCAATGGGTAATGCCGTTGAACCTGAATCATCACAAATTTGCGATGTGTCTACTCCTACTGCTATTGAAAATCTATTCAATCGCTACTTCACATCAGTGTTCTACACTGATCATGATAACCTAGAGGAACGTTCCTCTCCACCATCATATCCACCTTCAATGTCAGGACAGTCAGACCTCCAACTAACAATAGACGAAGACGCACGAACACTCTTAGCGCTAGACACCACTAAGGCTACTGGACCTGACGGAATACCATCTCGACTTCTAAAAGAAACAGCGCGGCAGATTGCACCTTCCCTCACCCAAATTTTCAACAAGTCGTTAAGCTGTGGCGAATTACCTGATGAATGGAAATTAGCAAACATTGTACCAGTACACAAGAAAGGCGAAAAGAGCCAAGTAGAGAACTATAGACCTATCTCTCTTCTTTCCATAATATCGAAAGTACTAGAACGTTGTGTCCTGAGAAATTAACGTGATCATCTGCTGGTATTAATCAATGATAGCCAACATGGTTTTATTCCCGAAAGTCGTGTACAACTCAGCTGTTAGAGGTTGTTGACTATATAGGTTCACTTCTGGACGGTGGCAAGCAAACTGATGTAGTCTATATGGACATGTCCAAGGCAGTCGACAAAGTCCACCATAAGTATCTGATAAGCAAATTAAGGAAGGTCTATGACATCTCTTGTAAACTCCTTCGCTGGTTTGAGTCGTAGCTAACAAATCGCAAGCAACGTGTAACTGTGCTAAGAGCTACATCCTCCGCAAGACCTGTTCTGTCAGGAGTTCCACAGGGTTCAATATTAGGTCCCATACTGTTTCTGTTGTACCCGAACGACCTGCTGGATGCAGCAGAGCAATCCAAGATCGCATCCTTCGCCGATGACACAAAGCTATTTAAGAAAATTGATTCCACTACTGATGCCATATCCTTACAATGTGACTTGAGTAATTTGGAGAACTGGTCAATATCTTCAGGTCTTGTCTTCGACCAAGGCAAATGCAAATGTCAGTGTATAACAGGGAAAAAGAATCCCACCAAACACGAGTATAAGATCAACAACAAGTCCCTGGTAGTAACCGAGAAAGAGAAAGATTTAGGCATATGGATCACGGGCATGTTAAGCTGCTCTTACCATACCCGCGATCGCTGTGCAAAGGCAAATAAGATGCTTGGTTTCCTGCGTAGGGCTGCAACGGAAATTACAGATATTAAGATACGCCGTACACTGTACTTGTCAATTGTTCGCTCAACGTTAGGTTACGCCACTCAAGTCTGGTCACCACAATCGATCGACTTAATTACGAGGACAGAACGCATCCCAAGACGAGCTACAAAGTTCATTCTGAAATTACCATACGTGTGCGGAGAAACGTACAAAGACAGACTGATCTCCTTAGACTTACTACCAATCACCTACTGTCATGAGTTGCTTAACATTATGTTTTTCTTTAAAGCTGTAAACAACATTATAACTGCCTCGAATGAAGTCCTTCCACAGCCAATTATACCATCAAGGCTCACTAGAACATCGGTTGACACCAACGTGCTCTCGTTCCGTCCTCGCAAATGTAAGACGCTGATCATGACATACCAACGCTCTTTCTTCATCAGAGTAATAAGAACTTACAACTCTTTGCCAGAAAGTCTAAGGCAAAAAGACTCTCACTGGTACGATTTAGAACATTGTTGCTCGACTATTATCACAACGCTGTCAAGACATCGTATGATGTGGACGATGCCAGAACGTGGAGAACGTGCAGTCTGCTTGAAATGCAACACATCACCAAACTCATGCAACCATTAACGTGCTGCTATTAGTACTGTATACACTGTATACACTGTATCCATTACCAGTTTCAACTTTCAATTTATATATTAGTTATGTGTTTTCTGTATCCAAGGGCGCACAGTAATTGGTTTCAAGCTGTTGTGGTGTCGCCGCCTTTAAGTTGTTGTCAACTTTATGTTGTTGCATGTCAACTTTTTGTCCAACCTTGAAACGTGGGAGGCTCGGCGTCTTTTTTGCGTTTCGATAAGTTTTGTCCAGGTCTATGCCAAGTTTTTAAGCAATTTTCCATATTTTCCATTGTTGGGCTCATAAAATTCAAGCATATTAAATGAATGTGTATGATTATAAAATTAAACCATCCTAGGTTTAATTTCGCAATCATGTACGTTGCGCTGAAGTTTTCGCGTTTTGGGGTTGGACAGAAATGGTTGGGTGTACGTGTTGTTTGAATGTGTAATTATAGGCGAAGCTAAATAAATAAATATATAAATCACCATATTCCATTAAACGTCTAATTAAAGAAATATATTTGCTATTCAATGTAGATCTGTTCAGACGAAATCTTAACCTGTAAGCATATTCAATCTTTTGGCCGCTCTTTCGCTAATAATACATATGCGGTGATTTTGCCAAGAGAGATCACTTGAAAGATTATTGCCTAAGTGACAATACAAGTGAACGTCTGGTATGGCCGCTTGATTTAACAAAATCTACGATGATCAGGTTTGTTATTCTTAACAGAAAAAATCATAGATCGTGTTTTACTGGGATTTATGGTTACCATCCATTTATCGGCCCAATTAGATATAGATGTAAGATCAGTATTAAGCTTTACAGCAGAAGTTGTTGGAGAATCTACCACATCTAAAATCATAGTGTCGTCAGCAAATAAAAAGCCTCAGATTGTATATCATTAGTAATATCGTTGATGTATATCAGAAACAGGAGAGACCCAAGAACACTGCCTTGGGGTACTCCAGCATTGACTTTTTCCCAGTTCGAATTGGTCCCCTCCACAACTACTCGTTGAAAACGATTAGAGAGACTGCTCTCCAACCAGTTTAGTAATGTACCTTTGATTCCAATAAATTTCAATTTGCTTATCAACCCCTCGTGCCAAACTTTGTCAAATGCCATACTAATATCCAGAAACACTGCTCTTATTTTTTTTCTAGAATATATTTGATGAACAGCATATGTTAATTGCAAAACAGTTGAATGGCCAGGACGAAAACCAGACTGTAAATTATGTGAAATCCAATTGCGATCAAGTAGTTAATTATGAAGGCGAACAAAAACTATTTTTTCGCAAATTTTAGATAAATTTGGTAGTAGGGACACAGGACGATAATTAGATTTTATGTTATGTTCATTCTTCTTAAAAATAGGTAAGACTTTTGCAAATTTCCAATGTTTGGGATATTGGCCTAGAGAAAGGGATATGTTAATTAATCTAGTGAAACTGTAATAGATACCATATGCACAAAGTTTATCATACGATTCCCAGTGCCGTCGTCGTGGCCACACGCTTTAGAAATATCAACACTTAAGAGCAATTTTAACATTTCATCAGGATTAGCAACAATACTGGACAGCGATGAAGATTGATAATTGAAAAGTTTCGCCTTTTCCTTCGGATCATAAACATAAATATAATTTTCTTTCAAGGGTGGAATTGTAGAACATACTTTTGTGTCGTATATGGATTTAACCACTCCCCACCATTTCTTTCCCCTTAATTTAGGACTACTTAACATAGCATTTAATTTCACATAGTATGAGGCTTTTTCTTTCTGAATTATGCTGAACGTTAAATTACGCTGAGTTTTGTAAAGATTCCAATCCTTAGGAAGTTTTTCTTATTATACTTGCCCAACAATCTGTTACACCTACAGTACGTATTGATCGTCTAATTAAACTGTTCATCCAGGGTTTATCATTTGGACGAACTGTAATTACTCTCGAAGGTATAAAGTTATTTACAATAGCAAGAAATTGTGTAAACCAGATCTCATAAAGGATATCTATAATATATAATAAACTTTACTAAATAGAGTTTCCCAATTGAAAGACAGCAGTTATTCGAGCGATCAATTGCATCACGACTATCTTGCAGCAACGCCAGAAAAACATCCATATCAGAAGTAAGGTGCGTGGAGGGTCTATAACAAATCTCAATATCTTAGAATTCAACAAAACAAGACGCCTGCTCAAGGCGTTCGCTTCGTCGGTAAAGGGGAAGGGCAGCAACAGAATTGCTTGGGGTGCATGATGTAGGACGTTGATGAGGCACGTTCAGAATTTCTGACCCCCTTACAAACCAAATACTAAAGTGATTCCTGAAGGCTTTAGGTCTCAATATTGTAAAAAGGTGTCAGAAAATCTGAACTCTGTAACATAGAATTCCGCAAAATCATGAAAAATGATAAATCTTGAGACACGGGGTTCAGAATTTCTGACCCCCTCACAAGCCAAATACTAAAGTGATTTTTGAAGGCTTTAGGCCTCAATATTGTAAAAAGTTGTCAGAAAATCTGAACCCTGTAACATAGAATTCCGCAAAATCATGCAAAAATGATAAATCTTGAGACACGGGGTTCAGAATTTCTGACCCCCTCACAAGCCAAATACTAAAGTAATTTTTGAAGGCTTTAGGCCTCAATATTGTAAAAAGTTGTCAGAAAATCTGAACCCTGTAACATAGAATTCGGCAAAATCATGCAAAAATGATAAATCTTGAGACACGGGGTTCAGAATTTCTGACCCCCTCACAAGCCAAATACTAAAGTGATTTTTGAAGGCTTTAGGCCTCAATATGGTAAAAAGTTGTCAGAAAATCTGAACCCTGTAACATAGAATTCCGCAAAATCATGCAAAAATGATAAATCTCGAGACACGGGGTTCAGAATTTCTGACCCCCTTAGAAGCCAAAATACTAAAGTGATTTCTGAAGGCTTTAAGCTTCAATATTGAAAAAAGGTGTCAGAAAATCTGAACTCTGCAACATAGAATTCCGCAGAAATCATGCAAAAATGATAAATCTTGAGACATGGGGTTCAGAATTTCTGACCCCCTTAGAAGCCAATAGGTCCTTTTATAATAGAAAAAAAGTTAAGAAGTACATGTGCATGCCTGGTTTAGAAACCGTGTAATTCTTGAAATAATAGTTATATATAAACATGAAAGTCGAGTACTCTATCTACATCAACAAATTCTGCAGTCTTATAGTTGTTTTACTTGCCATCCATCAGCTTTCTAAAGTTTCTTTTCGTGACGAATTCTTCATCATCAGACTGGACAATACAAAGAGCATTTCGTTTTATCCCAACTGCAGCAACAACTGCATTGCCTGTAATAAGTTACCAATACTGAATAGTAGAGTATGTTTCTAAATAACTACGTTTTATAAATATATATTAGATAGCTTAAGATCTACGACGCCGACGTCAGCTAGGACGTCAGGGCTATGCAGAGGACTGGGACTAGGAAGTCGTCCTAATGTAGTCCCACTCCTCTGTTTAGCCCTGACGTCCTAGCTGGCGTCGACGTCGTAGATCTTAAGCTATCTATTATCAATATATGGGGGTGATACAATTAAGGTTGTTCTTCCAAACAGTAAGATCGGAACTTAAACCTTAAACTCAGAGTAGGCCAGAGATCAATAATCCATCATCCCTTGCTCAATGAGAGTTTAAATTTTAAGTTTTTGAAAGAGAACCTTAATAGAATCGTATGTACAATACACTTATGTACAATGTATATTACTGCATAAGCATTAGCTGCATGCAGGCCCACCAAGGGAAGAATAGTGGGCCTGCAAGGAAGACCGGGTATTTTGTATTTGTCATGTTCGCACACGAACGCAGCATTCTGATTGGCTGTTTGCTGTTAGACTGTATAATTAGATCAGTGATTCATCACAAAGCTCTCAATAAGCTTAATATTGGATCTGATCACTTTTTTCGATTAATAATGACCAGTACAAGAACCGATCGCTTATTGTTTACTTGAAGGAAGAGATGTTTTTGCCGTTATGCCAGCGGGATTGCTTGTCATGAAGTGTTAGAATAGCAACATTACCACTGGGGTAAACTATAGTATAAACATTTTAATACTTGAGTTTTGTTAATTTAAAACAAATTTGATACGTTTATATGTTCCTTAAGAAAATTATGTTTTGGTTCGTGTTGACTCTGTTCTTACACTGAAGAAAACAGCACTTTTCGTGGTGAAGATTTAGAGGTAGTTGCAAGTAAGCCTGTTCGAAACACTTTGCGATTTGCAGGGCTTCCTTTCTGAGAGGGCAAAACAGAAGATGATAATTGCCATTTGAAAACATCTGGAATCTGAACTCTCTCTTCTTTTGTCGAGTTCTTTAGCAGATTAAATAGCTGAAATAAATTTCGTACTTAGTGAAACTAAGTAAGTGAAATTGAGCACTTGCAAATTGGGCAGGATTTGGAACTGACCAACCTCGCAAGCCAGGGTCTTTTACCTACGCTCGGGCTCCGGCGAAGACCCTGGTTCCTTCTGGTCACGTGACCTCCTAAAAATTAGGACAACAAGAGGTCCTAGGGGAGAGTGGTTGAAATGTGATGTTGTAATTTCCAACTTCCGGATAAATGTTGTGTTTGCAAGACCCGCCGAGGAGTGACTGTAGAAAAGCTACGAGAAGTGACTTCAACTGTAATATGCAAAAACATTCAAAATGCATTATTTTTCTTATTTGTTTGCAGTTTTCTATTATAAATATTTTGTATGCAAACACTATTTTGAAGCCCAAGTACTTATTTGCTTAGAAAAGCTGTCCTTTGGGGTGTATATACTGGCAATTTTTCCAATCGGTAATATGGCGAGTCGCTAATTTACCAGCTTTTGCCTTTGATGCTTTTCGCTAAAAGAGCGTTAGATCTAGAAGAACGTCCAACTCATGGCGTTTGTGTAAATGAGTAATGCTGCTCGTTACTGATATATCGCCAACGCGACTTTGATAAACAATCCAGCTCGAAAATTATGTGTGATAAAACTCAGAGTATCAGCAATAAATGTTTTTCAGCAGCCATTAAAATGTGACAACGAAGAGATTGATTGCGATGTAGCTGAACTTGACCAAAAGACAAAACTAATTCTACATGTTATTTTTTAATCATCCATTATATTGTTATCTCAATTTTGTTCACTTTATGCCAAACGTAGCATATTAATTGTGTGTTGTATTTTATAACGTACCAGTCGTTATTGCATGACTGCTACAGCATATAAACTTGACCGAAGGCACATAAAAGAATCACTTGGCTTGCATGATTGCTTTGAGTTGGTTGCAAATTCTGACCGAAAGATATGATGAGATCATTTACGAAAAGGCATTCAGATACAGGCACTGATATTAATGCCTTGGAGGACATTTGCAACCCAATTTATGCTGTAGTGTATGCAAAACACAATGTTTATGTGTTGAGTGTAGTTTAGATACGGAAAGGGAATGATTTTACCTGATTAGACAAATATTTTGCGCCTGTGAAATATTCTTGACTTTGTACCAAATAAATAAACAATTAATCACAAATTGATCGAAATCATATAAATTCAATTTACTTCATGGACAGTACAAAAACCCATACAGCAGTGCCAGAACAAAATTCTAAAATATACAGTATACTGTAACCATATAGCTCTTTCAATTAAAGTTGACAAAGACAATAGTCAGATGTACAATAATATGACTGCTATATAAATGAATAATGGAATAATGATAGTTTTCAATAAGTTTAACACCTCAAATATATTTTGAATACCAATTCAATTTGTATTACCATGAGGCTATTGATGTGTTAAGTATAGGTTATTTTGAGGCAACGAGGGGATATGTGATTTATTCACCGAGGCGCGCAGCGCCGAGGTAAATAAACACATATCCCCGAGGTGCCTCAAAATAACGTACTTATTTTTCACACTGCGAGGTCGCGTTAATGAGTCAGAAAAGAAATAATTCTCAATGCCATATTGCTTTTGCGATGTTGTTTTTTCTCATTTTTTGTGCTGCAAAGACATTGCAGGTGAATATTAGAGGGGATTATTAATTGCAGGTGAATATTAGAGGGGATTATTAAACGGAAATTGATTAGAGGGAAATATTGAATATATTCCCCGACAAGAACAAAGGAAACCGAGCAGGGTGAAAAATAAAATAGGATATATTTAGCGTTCAATTGTACATTTAACTATTGTTTGTGACACTAACCTTAATTGTAGGAATAGCTGCATTATAATATAGAACAAGTGTAAATTGCATGTGCATCTGTTAATCCTTTCAAGCTAG